TTATTAATTTACATATATATGTACTTTAATCGACTAATTTCGTGGTTTCTTCTACGCATGCTATCCGCAAAAAAGAGCAAAACATAAACTTTCTTATTAGACCTTTTTTATGTAAATTTATTGTTGGTTTTCACATACCCTAAATAGATGGAGTTGATTTTTGACGCTGTACAATTTCAGATATCACGTCATTCTGTAAATATATTTATAATTTTTCGAAAAGTAAAGCTATTAAACAGTAACAAAAGATGTAGATAAACAACTAAAAAAAATGTTGTCGTTAGACGCAGCAACGAAAAATATTTACTTATTTCTCTGTTTGAGTAAAATCTAGTTGTGGGCGTACTCTCTCCGCCTTTTTTAGCCAATGTAATAATATACAAATAAAAATATACATATCTACATGATATTTGGTATAAAATTTCTGCTTAAGTTGTCTTCTTCATGCATTTTATTTGTTCCAAAATATAATAACTGTTATATCAAGCATAAAGTTAGCGGAAGTGTATAGTTTTAATAAATGTGTACACTTATGTACTTCTCTCGACCAGTTTACTCAGTTTTGGTAATTTCATTTTGCATGGTTATTCTTTTTTACCAGCTTACGTTTCGTTGTGCTTGGTCAGTATTTTTCCATTAAGTTATCACGTCGAATAACTCAAGCATATGGCTACAGGTATATGTATGTATTTATTAAATGTGTATATATGTATATAAAAAATGATGGTTTTCGGATGATGATGATTGTTCTTATAAACATTTTAGGTTTTCGGCCCGAAATTGACCTAAAAAATTATGGTACCTATTTTATTGCGTTTTTGTGTATTTTTTTTTATGTATACAACTCAGCTTATCGGGTAATACAATTATCTACTAATAATTCAGACATCATATTTACATATATGTCTTTTAAATGCAATTGCCGACATTACATCGTTTTTGCTCGATCAGCTTGAAATTATTACTCATCTACTCAATAGTCCGACTCTTTAAGCAGGGATGCCCAACTTATTCCAGCGTGGGAGTACCTCAAAACTTGCGTTTTTTATAACATTTTCCATTGTAGCCAGATCGGAGAAAATAATAATTTTTGTGCATTTAAATTAAAACACCCAACATTTATTACGATTAAAAATTATTATAAGTATATTGGACGTTTAATATATGGATAAAATATTTAGCATAATTCTTTTTTTTATGATTTTATGTTATATTAAAACAATTGAATTTTGAAATTTCAATACTTTGGCTTTCAATACCTAATAAAGTGATTTAAGCTTGTTAGCTCTCAATTAAATGTTTTTAATACTTTTCAATTGAAGATTTATACTATGATGCATAACAATACAAAACATTTCATCAAATACATTTAAATTTCGCACTTTCTTTAATTCTCATTATTTTACATTATTTAGTGATCTTGAACGGCTGCAGTAAATCCCTCCGTTCACAAATATTTCTGGTAGAATTTCAATCTGGCCGTTCCAGTCTTTCCAATTGCGAAACGTCAAAACCTACCCGATTCAGTCAACTGTCAAAGTCGGGTAGGTGAGTTGCTCACTCATTTCCAATGACAGGTGTGTGGGGCATCTCTTTATCTCTGGTTTAAGGTTGACATTGAAATTAGAATGTACCTTTTTAAAATAATAACGGCTGTAAGAAACATGCGCTTACTATTAATGACCTGCAGCTACCACTTGTTATCTAATTACATAACATATTTTTGCATGTTTTTTTGTTTCTCTTTTACAATTGTTGTCAAACTGAAACTGTTGTTAATGCTGTTCGGCATTTCAACAAGTTGGAAGGTGGTGCACTGAACTCTTTTAGCATCGTTCATTAGTTGATTGGGAATTTGGTCACTTTCAATTATATTATAAAAAAAATAGATGTATATATACGAGCATATACATCTCAAATATATGTATTTTAGATATGCATATCAATCTATGTTATGAATTTCAATTTATTTTGCTGTTAGTTGAGTCAGGTGACCTTGAATGTCTAAGTTGTTTATTTAAGAGTTATTATTTTTGTTTGTGGCTACTTATTGCGGAAGCTCAGTGGTGATTGGGCAGCATAATTGGTAGAAACAGCCGTGATTCAATATTCACTTCCATCGAATTATGTTATTATATATATGACGTGCTCTTTGTTTTCGTCAAATGTTTCAAAATGTTCGTAACAAGTGTTTCGGTAACTCTATCAAATTGCCCTGAATAGTTATTATACGCTTATCAAATTACAAATTATAATTTAAATAAACAGGTAGCGTAGATTACCAATTTGAATGGCATTTGAATGCAGCTCTCTGGCAATGTTGTTTAACCTTTGCTTTCAAAGTCACTGTACTCAGTGTGCTGGTTGTTGCACTCTCGCTGGTTATAAGCAAAGGTCGATCTCGCTTTTGTTTTTTCTTAGTCATTTAAAATGTGTACATAAATAAACTTTATGTGTGCTTAACGACATTTTTAGATTTTAAATGTTTGGCATTAATTTTGGCTTAAAAAACACCTGTGCACACATATTTTTACTGTTAAGGCTTTTAACAAAATTTCTTCTTATGTTGCAGTAAATACTTATTGCGTTTTAAGAAAATTATTTTTGAAATGCAGCTACAAATATTTAAATCGGTATTATATTTGATGATATGCGCTTTGTTAACGTTCAGGGCTGCCATAATTATTAAAATAACACTCGGAAATTTCATTTATTGAAAGTCGTCCTTAACTGCAAACTTTTTGTGACTCGAAGAAAACCCTCCCATCGGCTATTTTAAATGTACCAGTTTGTGAAAAGCTTTGTTATAAATTCTGAAATTTGTATTTCGTATATGTTACTTTAACATTAAACCTAAATATAAGTTTTAATATACATGTGTATGAAGATGTGAGTAGTCAATGACATTTACAGTCAACTGTAAATTTTGTAAAATAACTGGTTATTAAAAAAACTGTACTTACATGCTAAGCATGACAATACAAATATATAGATTGTAATTTTTTCTGAAGTCAAAAATTATTCACGAATATTTGTGGTTTCTTTAAATCTATGCATATTTTATTATAAATGTTCATTCAAATAACTCTGATTCATTTTCTATATTAGCTATTGATATTGACCAACAGCTTGTACCAATAAGAAAATTGAATTCCATTTTATTTGTTTGTTTTCGAGTGTAGGCCTCGTATAAATTATGAATTTTATTATTCAATCAATTTCTTTTATGCTTTTATTTAATTGAATATGAAGTATTGAGAAATCTCATATACTGTGGTGCGTCCATACAGTTGCTTTTGTACGTGCCTTCATTTGCATTTCATCATTTATATTTTCTCCTAGTATTTACTCAACCTTATTGGTCTTATTACGCTGTCTGCTTTGTTTTGTATACAAGCGCTTATACAGACTGACGTATGGATCTGTTTGTGATCGTTTTGCTGCGCACATACATACATACATATGTATGTACATGAAACAAAACAAGTGTATAAATAATAATAAAAATTAGTGAATAAAAGCTGAAATTTTGCGAATATTTCATCATTGTTGAATGGAGTGTTTCAGTAATGTTGCGCTACCACAAATTATTTTTATTGTACATCTGCACAGTCCATCACTACTCAGCGTTTTAGGTTCAATAAATTTGTGCCACAATGGGGAAGCGTGTTAGGCACGTACGCTCAACTCGGTATATTTATGTACTATATGCATGCAGTATGTACGTATGTCGAATGTGTAAGTGCATGCGTGGTTGCAAGCGCTCCAGATAGCACTTAACATCTCACTCTACACCACAATTATCAGCTGGGGCCAGCTGCCTGCTGCCTGCCGAGCGCTGATGCGGTGCTATGCTGCACTTTGCCACAACATCCGTTAGATAAATCATAGCGTGTGATTGACTGCTGCTTGCATACCATATCAAAGCACTATTTTCAATTATATGTATGCTAGTTTTTTATACATCTTTGGTGTAATTTATTTCTATAAAAACAAATATGTGTATATATTTTGATTCGGGCATCTGTTGCCTAACAGCGCACCATGTAAAAGTTCAACAAATGGCTGCCTAGCGCTTTGAACTTTGACTTTGACACCATTGTAGCAGTTTCTGCTTTATATATTTTCATTTTCGTCGTCTGTTTGTTGTATGTAGTATGATTTTTTAATTTGTCGTTTCATTTTTGTTAATTGAATATTTCTGTGCGCCTCAATGTTATTTGCTATTTTGTAATCTGTAATATTTGTATACTATTTTAAAATTTCTGACACATGAAAAACTGTTTTTTTTTTGTTTTTGAAAATATATATGTATGTACATACACACCTACTTGTCACACCCTTAGCTGTATATGTCATTGCCATGGCTTGCATATCCTTGAGAAGAGTATAGTTTGTAAACAAATTTTATATGAAAATCTTAGTGTTTATTTTTGTTGTTTTATTAAAAGTTGAATATTCAGGGTCACTACACCAAGGCCAAGTGTGTAATTTAACATAGCAGTTTTTAAGTTTCTTCACCTTTTATATATACTTTTTTCTCTAAAATGTTTTAAGAGTTAATATTAATATTTTTGTTTTTCTATAAATATTTATATTATATAATTTTTATTTTTTTATGTAGTTTTATTTTAAATTATTAAATGTCTGCTCTTACTTCATTATTGCCTTCTAAAAAAAATTATTAATTGCTTTTTTATTGCATTTATTCTTCATTATAATTTATGAATTTCACAATTTTATTTTAAAACATTTGTGTTGTTAATTGTAATCAATTATTTTCACAGTTCAATGACACATTAATATTTCAAATATTTTCCATTTCATTACTGCACCACCTTATATATACATAAGTAAATATACCTAGTATAAAATAATCAACCAACACACTTCTTTTCAGCTTTAATAAATGTAATAATATAGTTATTATTACAAACCCATTAAATATGATTAAAACTGTTACTAAATTATTTTCTCTTCAATCATTTCCCCCCAAACAGAACGTAAGTTTTCTAGATAAAAAGGATATACAAGTATTTAAAGAGAGAGAGAGAGAAGCTAGTGACTACTTCTCTGACGCATATTTTTCTAAAATTCTGTACAAGAATCGAAGTTATTCGAGTACATAAATAGTGTTTCAACACACACATAAACAAATTATTAATAAATAAAATCAAATTAAGAAAGCGCAAGTGTTTATTATCGTAAAAAAGCTGCGAAGCTCACATAATAAATCTAATCGTGCTTTTTGTATCTACTTTAATTCTGTTCAAAGTATTTAATAGTTACTTTGACTACATTTTATTAAAGGGACATATTTTTTATTTAATATAATTTCAAAAATCTTTGAGGGTTTTGTTTGTTTGTTGCTTGCAAATTGTCTATTTTCCTCCATCTAAAAAATAGAGGAAAGGAATTGTACGAAGGTCCCTTGTACGCAAAAGTAGTTCAGCAGCAGCATTTAGAACGTTCTCAGCAACTGTTCTCAGCGTATGCGAGCAGCTCCACTACTGTCATTGTGACCGGTGTGTACGACACAAGTAGCAAGCAATAAATTTTATTTTCGGTCTGTAAGAATAACTAAATTGTGCAGTTTTGCATTCAATTGCAAAGGTAAAAACCACATTACCACATATTATCAAAAGAGAGAGCGGAGAGAGCGTGAAAGTTCCATTTCGTTAAAATTTTTACAAAAAGTGGTTTTTGTGGCGCATTTTAGTTTCTTACTTTGGTGTTTTCTTGGAGAATTTGTATTGCTGCAAGCAAGCGAACTATTTTCGTCTGTAAAGTGTGAAAATTCGAAAGAGAGAAAATTTTAAGCTATAGATTGAGAGAACCCACTCATAGAGAAGACGAGAAATCGCTTTTGTGGTGCTTCTCGTTGATATCGCCATATTCACCTACCACAGAAAAGGTAGTGTAAGCTTAAAATATCAATCCAAATCAAATTCTCCACTTGTGGCTGAAAATAAAATCAAACAAATTTTTTTTTGTTGGCCTATTACCAAAACAACTACGACAATAAGAAGAAGTCAGAGACAAAGGCTAAAGAGACGCGCATTTTTGAGCATTGCAATTTTACAAAAACCAAAACATTTGTAACGTTAATTTCAATCTCTTAAACCAAACAACAAATTCAATTCACAAAACTAGGTACTAGGCCAGCCCTCACAATGTCTGTCCCTGTACGCTACTCTGCTGCCGCCAATTACGCCGTCGTTGATAGTGGTTTGTCAAATACTCTACAACAAGAAGAGCAATACCACCAACACCAACAGCAACAACAACAACAACAGCATCAACAGCAGTTGTATTGTCAATTTGTCGCTAACGTCAACGCCAACGCCAACGCTAACGTCAACGTCAACAACATCAATTTGAGTTTGGGCGAGTGCAATAACTTCGTGAACGGCAATATAAACGGTTTTGACGTGCAGCAGCAGTTGATGCAGCAGCGTTCATCGATGTCGTCGTCGGTTTCGCCAATAACTGGATTACCCGCCAACATCAACAACAACATCAACATCAACCATCACCATCATCATCAGACTTCACCTTTAAACATGGACAATATGAATATCAATAATATTGATGTCCTGCAAGAGGAGGAAGAGGATCATCCGTTGCATTATCATCAGCATCATTTCGATAATCAGTCGGCATGCGAGCAATCGGAATTGCCGTCAAATAGTATGATGGGCGGAGAGACAATGGCGGAAGCTATGAACTCAACGATGTTGGCGGCAGCAGTAGCGAATGGAAGCGGTATTGCAGCAATGCATACTGTGGATTTAGATGTGGATGAGTGGAGGATGTCTGACGAGGGCCGGTATGGGACACCGGGTGCTGCTGGCTTGGAATATCAAAAATATGAGCTAGAACAACAACAACAACAACAACAAACACCTGCTAACATAAACCAACCACTGGAGTCTTCGTTTATGGACAATGATAATAGAAATATGAAGATGAACAACAACGTCAATAAAACTGGCAACAACAGCAGCACTACCAACACCGATCCCAATAGCGCCAATGATGCCCCAAATTCAAATAAGAAGGAGAATGAATTAAACGGTTTGTCATCCGAAGAACTGTATCGTATGTTGAACGAATACAATGTGTTGCAGGATAAATACCACACTGTATTGCTGATGCCGAGAGAATCCAAGGTAAGCTGACAAAACGAAACGCACTGCTCAATTATAATTAAATTTTTATCGCACTATATTGTAATATAAAATGTTATATGCATTTAATAATTTTTTTTTACTCGTCTGCAGCGTGAAGTGACGGCTGGTGGACGTGATGGCTCCGCGTATGTTTTACGTTGCCTTAAAATGTGGTATGAGCTGCCCTCCGATGTGCTATTCTCAGCAATGAGCCTTGTGGATCGCTTCCTTGATCGCATGGCTGTGAAGCCGAAGCATATGGCCTGCATGAGTGTTGCCTCATTTCACTTGGCTATCAGGCAGCTAGGATTAAAACCGATACCCGCGGAAGAATTAGTTACTATTTCACAGGTAAGTTTGTAAAGAGTAAGTGTCACGTAAAGTTTTGCATTATTTATTCAAAATTAAAGTAATTGGTTTTATTGAAAATCAACGAGTATCAAGTATATCAAACTGCTTTTAAGTTATGTTTGATTTTTTCTTGATTTTGAGGCATAAACAGTGAGTAAATATGTAAAACTGTCGTACACAAATCACGAAATGCAGAGTGTAGTGTTTACACAATAATTCTTTAGTTTGAAAATTAATCGAATCCTTTCATTCTGCTTTGTATAGTGTGGTTGCACTGCTGGTGATTTAGAGCGTATGGCTGGTGTTATCGCCAATAAATTGGGCGTTCAAATGGGCACCACCCCGGTCACTGCTGTCACCATTCTGCGCGTTTTCTACGCCCTTTTCCGTAATTTGGCAAAGGAGGTATGCGCTGAATTCTATGAATTCTATCAACGTATGATCAAGTTGGAAGACTTAGAAAATCGTTTGGAAAATTTGCTATGCGATGTCAAGACGACAGTTATAGCACCATCAACATTGGCATTAATACTGATGTGTCTACATTTGGATTTCCATATTAAGGCGTCCTATAAACGCGAACGGCCCGAATTAAAACCCGTATTCGAGTATATACTTTTCCTGCAGCAATATTTGCGGGTGAGTTATTGTGCGTTTATGTCTGCAAACAATAGAAATTATATTATTAAATATTGCAAATTCTTGTTAATATGTACGTGTGTTTATTAATTAAAAATTGTATAAAAAATTATTTCAGATTCCCGATCGCGTATTCAGCTGTGGCTTTTCCATTGTGGCTGAGATCCTGTCTCACTACAATGGTCAAAATAAGCAGCCCTACAAGCAACGCTTGGTTTGGAAATTGTCCAGCCGTACACTGAAAGTATTGCGTCCAACCAATCGTTTTTCAACGGATCTACCCACCATCGATGAAGGCCAAGCGAATGTCATGGATGAGGGCTGTCGTTCAAGGTGAGTTTGAACACTTAAACTAATCGCATTTTTTTTAAAGAAAATAGTGTCAACATTTAATCATTTCATAAAGCATTTCGTTTCTAATTAATAGTTTATGGCGCATATTTTATTATGCCATAATACTTAAGCAAAGTAATTTTGGTTCTAAAATGTCTCTACTAAGATTACAATTATAATTTATGTAACATTATTTATTGTTTCATAAATTTCGCTGTACGTAAGTCTGTATATTTTTAGAACAAATAAGTTCTCTACGTTTACTTTTGATCAATCTTGAAAAACAAATTCATTTAAGCATCTATTCCCATGTCGATGCGATTATATAAGCAAATGACACTTTCAGGAATACAAGTCAAAAATATATGGGGGGAACATACATAGTTACATATGCATGTTTACTTAAAAAGCTTATACGCACTCATTGTTTATTGTTGTTGGCGCGTGTAGCTTCGCACTCACATATGCAAATCTATATAGCCAACAAGCCATACATAAATATGTATAAACGAAAATATTTACATAAGTATTTGCTACTACAAGTCGCAGTAGTGCGCAGAATATACATATACATATATATATGTATTGCCTGTATGTTCGCTTATGTATGGTAAAAGTTCAAAACATATGCTTTAACCGAAATACTTATATATGTATGTACGTACTATGTACATGTAGCTTGTTTGTTGTTTGATGTGCTATTTTTTAGTTCATTATCTGCCAAATACACACTTCGTTCGTTGTTTATTACTTTTGGCTGGCAGGGAGATAAAATATAGAAAGTTATGCAAAAAAAAAAAAAAAAATTCAAAAGTAAAAATAATAAACTTATATTGGAAAAATGTTCTAGAAATTTTGGTCTTTACGCGTCAGACAGCTTTTCCAAGTATGTTTGTTGGTTCATAAGCAATGCTTTTATATTTTTGACATAAGTGTATTTTCTTTAATACTAATAATGTATTTTTCATTAATACTTTACGTATATGAGTAAGAAAGTTGTCGTTTTTGCATAGAAGTTCATTGCACCTAAATTGGTCATGTGAAATTCCTAAAGTATAATGGTGTGATGTCCATAATCTAAAGAGTATAACTTATCAATTGTTTATCAAAAAAGTCTGATCAATATTGTTTATTAGTATATAAGTATTTATACAGCATAAAGCATAAACCAATCAAGATATTTGTTTAGATTTTCCTATAAATTTAACAATTTTAATTTTCTTTTTACAGAACTGAAAGCATTAGCTCTGAGGAGGAGGAGGACTGGCCCACATCACCCATTATTCCGATCTTTGAACAGTGTTAGTACAGTACACGCGCATAAGAGGTTGCGATCAGAACATCAGATTTTTGCTTACGAACTCAAAAAATAACTGCAGGATATTTTTTTTCGGTTAGAGAGTTGGAGTAGAGGAGTACGCAAAAAAAAGGGGAAAAGCAAAAGATATTGTTTCACATGGAGGCGCATTGTTGTTGAACGAATTGCAATTAAGAGATTACAATGAAATGCAATACGATGTTGAAAAGCTCGAGAGCAGCAACATGAGTTAGTAAAGCAACAACACCAACAACATATCCTGCATAAAAGCAAGAAACAAGAGATATTTTGCTTTTTGAAAAGAAAAAAATATTTATAGTAAACAACAAGGAGTAAATGTCAAATCCGTAAGCGAGGAATCAACAGTTTTAAAGGAGAACAAAAATTATCAAAATAATAATATATATTTTTTTTTAAACTATAACACCCAGCTCCCGACTCTGCGATGTGTGTATATTTTGCTATGCATCATAATTACGAAAGAATTCTTATTTGTTTTAGTATATGTATATACGTACGATAGTAGAAATGTTTAGAGAGGAAAAACAAAAACAAAAAATATGTGGGTTAGAAGGCGCATATGTAAGACCACGACCAGTGAGACATATAGAAAGGTGCGTATATATAGGGAAGATGTTTAATTCTATTTCGAAACTTAAGAAAAAAAAAAACAAAAACAAAAAAATTTAAAAACATAAATATGAAAAAAAAATCAAAAAGCAAACAAAAAAAAAACTAAATAAATGTTGCGGACCATCATACCAAGGATTGATGCCGTTCCGATGCATTTTTTTCAAGGAACCGTAGAAGTGAGTAGTGAAAAATTCTTGGCAGAATAAAAATTCACAGCGAATCCTTCGAAAATATTTCGTTTTAAACGAACTAATTAAGATAACACCTTGTACATTTGTTAAGTATTTCAGTTGTACGGATCATGCTAAAAGTATTGCGCATGCGCGCACAACGGAAATGCCTACAAATTGCTGTTGATGAGATGAGCATGTGTCTTATTCCATCAAGACATTGCATTTGGGTTCGCTCACACAAAAAATATTCCAAAACATTTATAAAGAAAACAAAAAGTTTATAAAAAAAAACCCAAAACAAAAAAATTATTTACTTATAATTAATAATTACGAAAAATTACTACAATCAATATCAATTATGTCATGTCAACCCGTTTGTTTGTATTATTCTTTAATTATAGTACTTTGTTAAATTATTTCTGGTAAAAAACAAAAAACAAAAAAACTAATATTCAAAAGCTTAAAATTAAAAATTTAAAAAGAAAATAGACAAAAAAAAATTCAATTAGATTATACAAAATGCAAAAAAAAACATATATATCACCACTACAATAATTAGTATATACTGTAATGTTATCTTTGTATACAATGAAAATATCATAACAAAATAATTAAAAACGCAAACGATATGATACAATTAAAATAAACGTTTTATTCCAAATTTTCTTTAGTTCTATTTACGTAACACCAAATTTGTAGTAAGAAGTACACAAAACAAGAGAACAACAAAAAATTTAAAAAAGTACAAAAATATTTTATTCTAAAATTCGAAAAACAACTATAAAATAATTTAAGCAAAATTCTCAACAAAAAATTGTAAATTTAAATTTGATTAAGACGCGCTAAACTTTAAGTATATAAGCTGATTTTAAGAACGTTCACATTGACACTTGCTCGTTAAGATTAAAACCAAAAAACAGTTAAATCAAAGCATACATTGTGTCTTAAAGGTGTCAAGAATGTGAAAAAAAATTGTACTGCCACGTTCTTGTAACAAAATTTTTAATTCGCCACATAATTGACACAATACATAACAACAGCAGCAAGCATTTTGATAATTTCGAAGCTTCGACGAATTTCGAACAATCATAAAGATATGCAAAACAAATAGACAAACACACAAATATAAATACGGTATGATATAAAAAGATATTCAGTTTTTTTTGGCAAAATTAAAACTATTGAACATTTAAATGGCAACAGTTAGCATTTCGTAAAATCATTTTCGATTGAAATGTGAATGTGTTTATTCGAAATGGATAAATACAGAAACGTTTTCGAGTCGAAGTGAGGTGTACCGAATACACACTCTCTTCGTCTCAAGCGCCTATGCCTTTTTCGTAAGAAGCATAGAAAATATTGCGCAATCGACAATTTTCGTTTTCTTTTGTCGGCTCATTTTGGCTGACAGAACTAAGTGAACACAATGCCAGGCATTGTATTTTAGTAGTGCTACTCAGAGCGCACGCTCATAGTTACTAAATTGAGCGAGGAAACGAGCGAGTTACACTTAGTCAAAAAAGACTGAAGTTTTCAAAGTAAAAGGCAAGCAGTGCAAGCCACGTTTAATTTCTCACATTCAACATGTTTGGAAGATGCACGTAGTTTGTGTAAATTTCTCAATTTATTTGTTTTATTTTCATGCTCAAAATTGCTTATAACATTCACATGTTGTCCTCGAATTAAATTCAATGGAGTGATTTTTTTTTTATTATTATTATTTTTGTTTTGTATTCAAAGTTTTTTTAGAATATCTTTTTTGTTAATAATTTTATTGCTAATATTTAAGTATGAACAAACAAACCTATTGCAAACAAGCAGAGATTTACAACTTTTAGCAAGTTGTTGGTGGGAGTTTTGAAATTCAATTTTCGCTTCAACACACATATTTTATTTAAGTGTAAGCAAAAGTTTTCCCAATTTTGATATTTGCCAAAAGCAACAACTAAATATTATTTAGGACATTAATTTCATTGATTATTTGCGAAATACAAACACATACAAAAACAAAAAGCGAAATTAACAAAATGTAAGCAGCTTTCAGCTTTTTTCTTAAATACTTTTAAGTATTTGTATTAAATCATTTTTAGTGTAAGCTATTTTAATCATAATATTTTACTTGAATGAAATTATGATGCATACAATCCAAAAGAATATACACTAAAGTGGAAACTTAAAAAGTATTGCAAAACAACATAAAACTAATTGTTAGTTGTACGTACGCAGGACCTGTTTTAAACTAAAACTACATTAAGGCAACAAACAACAAATATACATCTTATAATTAAGTATACCTTAATATGCGTGTAGTGAGTGCTCACGGGCAAGCAAAGGAGTAAACAGCAAATTTCAACTGTATACAATTTTAAGTTTTTGCCAAACCATTTTTGAAATGTTTCGAATGATTTTATTTTTATTTATTACTATTTTTGCATAGCCTTTAATTATTATTATTATTATTTTTTTTTTTTTGTTTTTAAACAGTAGGCTGTAAAATACAGTAATTATATGCAAATGTTGCAAAAAGCCTGCGTAAGAGCATTTTGTAAGCAAACATAACAATTGGAAATGTTCAAAATTGTATATGAATGAAAATAAATATGTGTAATTGGCATTTTTGCGAGTCATTTTTGATTTGCTAAAATAAAATTTTCCTAATGCCAATAACAAATTAAACTAAAACAAAAAAAAAAAAAAATTGATTTTCATTCGAAGAAAAATGTTAAATTTAAATTTCTTACAGCTAATAGCTCTTCTGCAGTGACTAAATAATGGTACAACACAGTTTCTGCTTATGTAAGTGACTTGTTGCTTGGTCTGTACACTTTGTCAGAACGCGTGATATCTTCTATTGGTCCGTCTGATGCAAGCGGCGCTGGCAACCAAAGTGAGTACATGTAACTCGTACGCAAGGACACTAAGTAAGTACAATGCGCTGAACCTGACACGAATATATATACCATACATATACGTATATATGCACCAACTTTCAGTGCTGTTAACTTCATTTTACAAACATAAAGTGTTTGTACAAATATTTTAATATTAGAGTTTCTTGAAAGACTGCCAACCGGAGACCGTAATGATTATAAGTTATATTTTAAAAAACCACGTAATTATGATTATACATTGGTTTTACGATTTTCTTCACCGGTAATGATTAATTTCGATTTATTTTACAAAAAATCTAGATAAAAATTAATTTTCAAGTCAAAAGTTAGTTTTAGTTTGAGCAAAAAAAAACCAAAAAAAAAACAATAAAAATAAAAAATCACAATTAAGGGACCTAAAAAACCTGAGACCATCAATAAGTTTTATCTTGAGCAAAAAATAAAAATTAATAATCATTATAAAAATAAAAATTAATAATCATTATTTTTTATTTTTATTTTTGCTCAAAAATAATAAATATTTGTGACTTAATTTTTGGCCCAAAAAATAATAATTTCAAAATAATCATCAATAATGAATATTTGTGATTTTTATTGTTTTTGCCCAAAAATAATAATTTCAAAATAATTATTATCGGTGAAGAAAATCATAACAAATAAAAACAAACCTCATGCAAATGCTAAGTTCGTCGAAAAATGATAACACGACGTTATCTGTTTTATCGTATGTCGATTTTAAGTGTTGGATTTTTTCATTTAAAAATCGCAACAATAATCATTATTTTCGGTCTCTACTGCCAACACATTTTCATATAAAAATTCGGTTATAACATTTATTTCTTAAGAGAAATGATGCACACATCGATTTGCGTTTATTATTTAACACATTTTCATACAAGTATTCAAAAATGAATAATAATTCTTAAATGATTTTTGCTTATCGATTTTGACTTTTGTTTTGCCAACTTAAAATATATATTTTACTTCAATTGCTCATAAAAGGGGAAAGCAGAATTTTGCAAGCGTTGTTATTTTGTGTTATATAATATGTGTATTTGAGAAAATCATTTTTAACTAATATTAACGCAAAGCCTTTGCATTGAAAATAACTTCAATTGAACCAAACAAAAAAATCATTGTATCAAATATCATAACATATTGTTAGAATTTGTGATGTAGTAAAGACATAAATATATTATTGTGGCAATGTTAATGTTTAAAATGGTGATATTCAAACGTAAATAAGCTACCAACCGAACCACTAAATACCATCAACAATGATAACATTTCAAGCTAATATATTTTTAGCAAAAAATTTTACAAAAATCTGTTAAATATGTAATAATTTGTAGTGGAAGTATTTTAATAAGCAGCTGAGCACATTTTTAAAAGCATATAAAATTTAATATATTGCTTTTGTTATTGGTTTATAAGTACGAGTACGCACATACCAATTTTTCGAATGTAGCAAAATCTTTTATCGTAGCCATATACAGACATACATAATTAAGATCAAAATGACTTTACTCCTGGCCTTAATTGCCAAACAATTAGTAAAATTATACAGAAAAATGTAGATTATTAACTACATATGTATGTATGTGAAGTATTCGCTATATTGGCCAGCTTACAGTTAGTTTAAAATGAATGTATTCATATGCCACATATTTTGTGTAATGTGTAAATGTGTTTTATTTTAAGTGATTAATTTATTTAAGGCATTTTGCTTTTCACGCATAGCATTTCATGTGCAAACATTTTAAGATTTTAATTAAAGCTTGCATTAAGCGAAGTTAACTTATAAAAAAGCATTGCAAATTATACGCAAAGATTTATTTATTTTAGTAGCACGATACTGTTAGGAAAGTGTGTTTGTATTTGTGTGTTTTACTTATTGTCGAAAATCATAAAAAATATAAAACAAAATGAATTAAAACTACTTTTTAAATAATAAAAAATCCGATTTATAAGCGCAAATAAAACAAAAACAAAACAGAAAGCGTATGAAGTATATATACATACTTAAACTAAGAAGAATTCTTTGGTATTTATAATATATAATATATTTATTCCAAATGAGACTTTGTTAAATTAAGTAATAACAATAAATTTAAAATGAAAAATATACAATTTGTGTGCATAAATACATGTATATATACAATATAAAACGGTGAAAATAAAATGCAAAGATCGTTCATCCTTTTCTTACTTACATATAGTCTTCAGATTTTTGCAATATACATATATACTTACATATATTATTTTATATGTATATTGCGCATTTAGCGTACTGTTCATCGTGAAATCACCGATTAAATACCTGGATCAGCACATATATATAGCGTGTAATATTAAACAAAATTTCCTGTATGCTTTTTCGTAAGCTGTACATAATACTCG